CCCCCCCCGAAGCCAATGCGGCCCCCAGCTGGCTGGCCAGCCAGCCTCCCTGCCTGCCTTCTTCCTGCTCAGCCCTGCAGGACTTTCCAGCAAAACAGCTCAGGAAGAGAACACAGCAGGTCCCAGCACTCAATCCCTCCTGCTGTGGGGCATGCCTCCTGGGGGTGGGCCCAGCCAACTTGCACCTCCACCTCACCACCTCACGCAGCTGGAGTCCAGCCTGAGCTCTCTCTGATGCATCAGCCCCTGGCAGGGTCCCAGCTTGAAGGTTGAGAAAATGGGCCAAGATCCATCGTGAGGAGCCTCAGCAGTCATCCCAGATCTGAACCCCAACATCTTGTGTGACCACCCACAGCCCACACCAGACTCTGCCCTCTCTAATCAGACTTCCTTTGCACCTGTTGAAGATGCTGATTGACAGGGAGTGGCTAGCCCTTCCTTTGCAGGTGCCTCAGTTTTCCCACCAGTGTGTGAGGGAGCAGCTTTGTATTTAACCCTTTCAGAGCTGGGGCTTCTTATGAGGCCAACTCAGTGTGAAGACCATGAGCCTCTACGTATACACATGTAAGGGGGAAGATGGTAAGGGCCATCAGATTTTATTTGTGGAAGCAATGATGAAACACACAGCAACATGATCAGGACAAGGTCTTGTCCCTGCTAGGGACCAGTCCCTCAAAGCCCAGGAAAGGGCATGAAGTTCAAGACCTGGACAGAGGCCCCATAGTTCCATGCCCTGAATGATAAACCCTTTCACCCCACCCCCTCAGGGTTACTGAGGCTAAACAACCAACCTAACTCTTAGGCTGATACAGAGATGGTCTGCTACTGGCTTGGGATCACACAGCAGCTCAGTGTGGCCTGTCTGGGGTAGATGGAGATGGGGGTAGGGCAGATGCTAACCTTGGAATGAAGACACAGAAGTCCCCACTCTCAAGGGCCCTTGAATCCATCTGTGACTTGGGACATATGTCCTCAGGCCTGGAGGGCCATGGTCAAGGTGCTGAGTCATTGGGACAGTGGGGAGTGGGCAGGATAGCTTTTTCCACTGGCAGGGAACTCTGGAGTGGGAAGCAGGAGAGGACCAGGGCTGGCTGAGCACAGCACTGACTGGCAGAGAGAGGGCTCAAGGCAAGAGGCAGGGCAGGCTGTTTCATAGTACACAAGGGGGCTTGCAAGGCCACCTGCTGCCCATGGGAGGGCTCCCCTGTCAAATGTAGGACTCAGCCACCCTTGGGTCAGGCCTGAGGCTGGACAGAGCTCCTTCTGGGTCCAGGCTTCTGGGTCCTGTCAGCCCAACACGGGCTGCCATGGAGCAGGGCGGTGAGGGCTGCTATGATTGTTGACAGGGGCTACCCCCACTGGACACATAGATGGATTGGGTTTAGGGTTTGGAGGGGCAGGGGATTAACACTGCGCGGAGACGAGTCGAGACACTGGAGGGGCAAAGAACACAAAAGCATGGAGATCAGTCTACAGGGAGACCTATGGGAACAGCGACAGCAGAAAAGCTGGGTGAGGGATAGACCAACAGATCAGGACCGGACGGGGAAAGCAGGGACAGAGGACCGAGACCTGGAGCGCCTCCCCGCCCGCCCGCGCCCCACTCACGTCCTGGAATAGCGCGTGTCCGGCGACAGGCGTGGGTGCGGGGTGTCGCGGTGGCTGGAGCAGGCACACGGTGAGCAGTCCCGCGCACGCCATGGTGCCGGCTCCGAGGCTTGCGAGGCTGATGGAGCTGCAGCTCCGGGAGCTGTGGGCTTGGCTGGGGGTGGGGCGCACGCCCATTGGCCGGAGCACAGCCCCGCCCCCTCCCAGCCTCGGTTTCCCTGCCTGGAGGATGAGCACACAACTCAGATCCGCTCGCAGGGCCTTTCCTAGAAGCCTCTGTTCTGGGCCTCGCCCCCTCCCCAAAGGTGGGGTTATGGAAATGCCAGGGGTCAGTCGCTGACAGCCTCAGTGAGACCGTGCACACCACCAGAGGGCAGGGCCCAGTCCGGTGTGGTTCCACAAAGCCGCGTGCAGAAGCAAAGCGGAGTCCTCGAGACGGTGAAACCCACAAGCTCCTTGTCGCTAGGTGTCGGGATGCTTGTCTGCCAATAAAGGTAGCAGATCGCCCTAAGATCCTTAGGGGAACTTGAGGGTAAAGAGTTTAAGATGGGGAATGCTCAGAGAACACCTGATTTGTCAAAGCATGTCCACAAGGACTCCCAGTCTTCCTGGGCCTCCCTCCTGCACTTTCCCCCGCTAGTTTTAAAAAACTTGCATTTTGTGTGTATTAGTGTATTGCCTGCATGCCTGCATGTGTGAAAGTGTGTCCGTGTCGTACAATGCCCGAGGACAAAAGAGGGCGTGGAATCCCCTGGAACTGGAGTTATGGTCCGTTGTTAGCTGCCATTTGGGTGCTGGGATTCAAAAGCAGGTCTTCTGCAAGAACAGCCAGTGCTCTTAATCGCTGAGCCATCTCTCTAGTCCCTCCACTTTTTTTCTTTCTTTTTCGGTCTTTTTGAGACAGTCTTCCGGTAGCCCCAGCTGGCCTTGAGCTTATGGAGATCTGCCTGCTTCTGCTTCCTGAGAGCTGGAATTAAAGGCATGCAGCGCACTTTTTATTATTTTAGGTGTATGTTGTATGAATGTGAATGCCATGTGTATACAGATGCCTATAGAGGCCAAAAGAGGGCATCCAAACCTCTGGAGTTGGAACTACAGGCAGCTGTGAGCTGCCTAAGGCTTCAGTCCTGGGAAGTGAACTCAGGTCCTCTGGAAAAGCAGAACATGCTCTTAACCACTGAGCCATCTCCCCAGCACTTCTAAACTCAACCCAGCTTTCTTTTTTCCACCTCTCCACCATTCTGACCCCATTCCAATCCATTCTGTTAAGCTAGAGGGACCTTTAAAACAGGATATGGTTGGTCCTCCAGCAAAAACTATCCTAATTCTGTGAACTCAGGACTCAGCCCCAAGGCTTCCCTTCAGATCCTGTCTCACTGTCCCAAGGTCTCGCCCACTGTTTTCTACACTTTCTTCCCCCAATTAACCTCTTGATCCAACAGTTCTCAGCTCTAACACTTTTCCAAGCTCTCCCTTTCTCATTTGCAGGACGGCCATAAGAGGGAACACACACAACCTTGGAACAGGGAAGCACCTCAACAGAAACAAATATAGTGAGTGCACCATGTATGCTGTATCTTTACTAATGCTCAGAAATTTCTGGAAGAAACACAGTAAGCTGCCTGTAGCAGTCTCTTCTGGCACTTTGGTAATATACATAATGTCCCACCATACAAAGTTACTGGGTCAGTTTTTAGGTTAGAGGAATGGCCAAGTCTTTTCTTGGGGTTATGAATCAAATGAAAATTATATCAGGGAAAAGTAAAGTGTTATAGCCTTTCCTACCCCAGCCTCACATAGCATACAGAATTCCAAATCCAGCCCAAACATCATCAAAATATTTATTAAAACCAAAGCAGGAGGAACAGAGCTGTTAGGAAACAAATCAAAGTGCAGATTGGAGGGTGGGGCAGGGCAATGGGGGTGGGGCTCTCCAACCACCAAAGGAAGGTCCCCTGTCACCTACTCCTCCTGCCCACCCTTGTCAGTCAAGGTCCCCACTCACCTCTATCTCATATCCAAGCTGGGGGGCAGCTGGGGCGCTGGCATGACCCTTTGAAATGAGGTCATTCCTTCACCCACCCATGGCAGTCAGTCTCTTTCCCTCCCTCCCTTTCCCAATAAATAAAACTGCTGGGGACTCAGCTCCTTCTGGGTGGGGCAAAAGAACAGCTAGGGGACCCTGCCCTTGCTTAGGAGTATAGGAAATTGGGGTATCAGCCCCATATCCCTCCCACCCTTTGCTCATTCCCCAGGCTTGCCAGAGGCCTTGATAAATAAATTAACGCTCCATTAAAGCTTCGATCAGAAAACCTTTAAGAAGTGCTCTTGCTGCCCTGAAAACCAGGCCAGCCAGGCCACCCCACCTGGCCTGGCCAACACACAGGATTCTGGGAGCAGGTGGCCACCTTGGGCCACAGGGTCCCTAGAGCAAGGACACCAAAGTGCAGTTAGAGTCCCCCATGTGCACACATGAACTTGTACACACATGTGGACACACCAGGTCATGTCTGCAGCACCCAGATGTGTTCACCTTCATTCCCCGGTATATGCACATACGTGATCACACACCACTCCCCCAGATACATATTTGGGGTGTTGGGTGTGCACCCTTCTTGGTATGCTCAACCTCCTGGGAGCAGCCAAAGCCCACAGCTAGAAGCTACAGGACAGATGAGAGTATGAGTTGCGCTTTTTGAAATCAGGCAGGAAGGATGGCCCAGGGCAGGAGACTCCAAGCCTGCAGACAGGGTGGGCCTCTCCAGACACCATGGCTCCCTAGGCTCCTGTCAGAAATCCAGGGGAGTCAGGTCCCCAAAGTCACAGTCAAAAAGATCTCTGATGCCCTCACTCTCCTCGAGGCCAAAGTGGTAGTCCAGGGCCTCATGAGGTGGGGAAAGAGTGATAAACTCCTCAGGGAGGAGCCCAGAGAAGTCTTCTCGTACATGCTCCAGAAGCAAGTCAGCAGCCACGAGTGGAGACAGACGGTCTTCTTCCATGGGGGCCCTCAGATTGCCCATCCGTGACGGCACTGGCTCTGGGGAGGGATGGGGACATCTCAGATCAGGAATAGCCCAGCAAGGAGAAGGGATGCCACACTTGCCCCCTAGATCAAACCTACCCTCCCACCTACCTTGCTCCATGCCGAGCAGGGACTGGCTGGGATCCAACGTGGGGGATGTGGTGGGAGATGATGGAAGAGGCCCTGCACTGCCAGGGTCAGTGGTCCTGTCTTCCTCCCCAGATTCTTCCTGGGATGGGGTCCTCCCAGGGCTGATCCCCCCTGCACTCTCCTCAGGGCACAGGAAAACATCGATGGGGCCTTGTTTGCTCTTAAGGGAGATCTGAAATGTCTGGGTGGAGGTAGCAGGCAGGGTAAACTGAGGCCTGGGTGACTATTAGCCCAGCCCAGCCTGTCCCGGTCAGGCCTGGGGTCCCTGGTCTCACCTCAGCAGAGTCCACAGCTTGGAGTTGGGTCTCGGGAGGGGCCTTGATCACCATGATCATCTGTTCTGCAGGGTCTGCAATGCTGCGAAGGTCCTGGCAGGTCACATAGGCCAGGGTTGGAGGAGTCAAGGACCAGCTTACCTTTAGCCTTTGAGGGGCCACTGACTCAAGACAGAAGAGAAAGCAGGGTCTACAGATGCCTAGTCACTCCGGTCTTGATTCCCCACCCCAGGACTTTACACAGTTGATGCTCAAAACCTTATTCCTGAGCTTCAACTGCCATTATCTGTACAGTGGGACCATTTATCCATTCAATTCCAAATTAATGGTGGCTCCCTGTAGTAATTCCACAGAAAACATTTAACAAGGCTCCAAGCCTGGGGATGGGAATTGATTCTGACCCACAATTTTGCTGCCAAGTGATGGCTGTATCTAAAATTTATAAACACAATTTCAGTAGTCACTAAAAAAAAAAATTCTAAAAAGGTGTTTTTTTGTGAATAGTCTTTAGCTCTGAAGCACAATCATGTACTAAATCACTGACTGCACTACACTAGGGAAATGTTTGTTATTGCTGGTATTAGCTTTTCTTTTGCCTTGTTTTTGAGACAGGGTTTCACTATATAGCCCAGGCTGGCCTGCAACTGTTTTTGTTTTCAGACAGGGTCTTATAATATAGCCTAGATAGCCTTGAACTTGTGGCAGTCTTCCTGACTCTGCTTCCCAAGTCCTGGGATTACAGGCAGCGTACTACTGCCCAGCCTGGCCTTGAACTTTTGATCCTCCTGTCTTACATCTAAGGTGTGGGATTACAAGTGTGCATCATCACACTGGGTTTTCCACTTATTTGTCTGTGCATACACGTTACAATGGTGTGTAGTCAGAGGACAATTTATAGGAGTTTATCCTCTTTCCATCAAGATCAAATTTGGGTCATCACGATTACTCACTAAGTCATTTTGCTGGCCCTATTTTCTCTTTTACTATGTATAATTTTAGAATTGAATAGCACTATCCTCACTTTTACAAATGTAACTGAGATCCAAACAAGTCAGATAACTTATCCAATATCACACGGAGAGTAAGTACACAGTTAGGGCTGCATCCAAAATCAGTACCCTTCTGAATCCAGACCCTAAGGTAATGTCAATAGTCTCACTAGCATGGGGCCCACACCCGCCATGCCTGCCCTCCATGACCCCTGGCCAATCCAAAGATATCGCTGGCTGTCAGAATCCTCAGAAAGCAGTTGCAGCTGTGTGGTACAGATGTCCATCAGGTGATCCAGCTGCTGCTCACTCTCCTGCAGTTGCTGGAGGTCCTTGTTCAGACCTTCAAGCCGCTTACTGATCCCCACCATGGTGTGGCTGCCTCTGTGGGAGGCACACAGAGTAAAGTTAGCAGCCCCTGGCCCCTCTGTCTATCAGGCCTCACCCTTAGGACAGTCTGGCATGCTACTGTTTTGAGACACAGGGAAGCTCTTTCCCCTCTCTGGCTCTGGCTCCTCACCTAGGCTCCAAGTTAGACTGGCACAGGTTAAAGCCTGGTCTGTCAACAAACACCTACATGTCCCTACCAAGGGGCCAGGTACATAAATGCCACATATATGCCATGGAATGACACTGTTGAATTAGATATACATAAGGAAGCATTTTCAAGACATGTTGTCATGTGAAAAGAAAAGCAACACAGAATGATCCATCAAAAACTGAAAAGGCAGATGTGTCCGAGGGCAGCAGGATGCCTGGAGAATGAAGTAGAAGCACAAAGTCGTACCAAGAACAAATCATCTATAGGGTTCTCAGATGGCAGCAATAGCTGCAATAGTGCTCCCACAGGGGTTCAAGAGTGGGCAGCCAGGAAAGGACAGGAAACCTTCGGGGGTAGCAGATATGTCCTTTATCTTAGTCCCAGTGGTGGCTACCAGGGGGAATATAGGGAGCTGAATCGATAAAATTTGTGTATCTCTTCCCATCCCTTACCCCAAGGAAGACACCTCTCCTCTAACTGTAGTTTCCCAGCTGTTAAGACACCAACGCAGGAAGCCACTACAGGCACTTCTGCCTGGTCTGGCTGCCACTTGCCCTCCTGCCTGGTCGGTACCTACAGCCACTGGATATGGTTCTTAGACTTCTTGGCAATGAGCTGGATACCCTCGAGGACATTGGTGATGTCGTAGATGCGCCGTTTCTGCACCTTCAGCACCTCAGCAGCCCAGTTCAGGTCAACAACACCATCAGCTGAGTGGCTTAGCAGCTCCAAGAAGCGTTTGGTGGTCAGATTTAGTGATGTCTCATAGCGTGACTTCTCCCCTGGAGATTTCACACCTGGGGACATGGTTTAGGCTAGGCAGGGATCCTCTATATTCAAGTCCACCCCCACCAGGCCTGTGTCCCTGGCAATGTAGGACAGCAGGAGAGGACAGGGGCAGATGTCTCCTTCCCCTAGGTCACGCTAAGCAGAAAGGTCCTATGGCTGCCATCTGCCAACCAAAGCATTCCTACTGTGGCTGGGGAACTCTGGGACCTGAGGAAGCCGTGTCAGGCAGCCACTCCAGCAGCCTTCCAGGGCCCCAGGGCCTGGCTCAGCCCAGGCCTGACTAGCTAGACTTTAGTCTACAAGCATGTCCACATCCCCAGTCTGGGCCTGACAAGTTAAGAGTTCCATGAGCACCTTTTCCTGGGTGGCGGCCTCTGCCCCGGAATGGTCCACTGCTCTCAGCCAGGTACTGATGGTCAGTTTCCAGATCCAGTCTCCGCTTCACCTATAGAAGCCATGGGAAGATGCCCAGTAATCAGGAGTGAGACCACAGAGCTAAGGGCTTGGTACCCCAGCCTCATTTTCTTTTGGAATGCCTAGGTGTGACTGAGGGAGACAGAGCCTAAGGAACACGGTATGGTGGTCATTTTCCTACCATACAGGTCACGCAAGTAGAAGGTCAAAGACTTTGGGTTCAAGTCTTAGATCCATGGCCTCCCTTGGGGGCCAGTAGTGGTTTTAAAATACAGCAGCAAGGGGGAAAAAATGTTATAATGCTGAGGACTGCAACCAGAGCCTTGTTTGTGCACTTTAACACACAATTTACCATTTAGCAATATCTTCAATCCCTACATTTCAAACCATTTTTTTTAAGTCTCACCATTTATATTTAACCCAAGCTAGCCTCAGATGCACTATGTAGCTAAGGATGATCTTGAACTCCTATTCTTCTTGCCTCTACCTCCTCTACTAGGATGACAGGCATGTGCCACCATGACCAACTGTAAACTTGGTGATACTTCTTTCAAAGGATGAAGGCCAATTTCCTTCCCCTTAAATGCAGACCAGATCTAAGGCTTGCTGCTAGTAAACAACGTGGCAGAAGTGCTGGTGTGTCAGAGTGGTCACTCAGGCACTGGCGCTTCTTTGCTCTTGGGTGGTAAGGAGAGGGGCATGCCACATTCTCAAATATCCCTGAAGATGAGCACCAGTGGCAAGAGCTGAGAATTTTTTCAGATGAGGAGCAGCATGGTAAGCTTGGAAGCAAATCCTACAACCTGAGTCCTGACTTCTTTCAAAAAAATACTTTATGCTGGGCATGGTGGAGCACACCTTTAATCCCAGCACTTGGGAGGCAGAGGCAGGAGGATCTCTGTTAAGTTCAAAGCCAGCCTGGTCTATATAGCAAGTTCCAGGCCAGCTGGGACTGCAGGGAGACCCTGTCTCAAAAAAAAAAAAAAAAAAATTTAATTTTTATTCTATGTGTATGAGTGTATTGCCTGCATGTATATAAATGCACCTGTGTTGGAGGTCAGAAGAGTGAATTGGATCCCCTAGAACTGGAGTTACAGATGGTTGTTAGCTGCCATATGGGTACTAGTAACCAAATCCAGGGTTTTCTGCAAGAGTAGCCAGTGCCCTTAATCACTAAGCCATCTCTCCAGACCCCTGAGTCCTGACTTCTGATCACCACCAAGGAACATTCTGTCTGCAACAGGAAAAGACCTCCACGCTGGAAGCACCCAGGCAAGTCCCCTGAATTCCTGACCCACAGAAACTGTGTATCAAGTGTTTTAAGTCATTGAGGGTATAAGTCTTTGGATAAGTCACTCTGGTTTTTAACACTCACTCATCTGTAACCATGAGAGCAGCTGGTGCTTACCAACTGCTCTGCACTCAATATACTGAACTATGTGGCCTGGCAGTATCACAATGGCTCCATTTTATGGATAAAGCAACTGACGCCCAAGATCATATAGCCAAGAAGTGGTACAATCAGGATTCCTACCCAAGTTTGTCTGAGAAAGAACCCAAGCTGCTCTCTGGTTCAGGTTGAACACTCAATAGAGGCAGGTGTGGTGGCACACACCTTTAATTCCATCAGAGGCACATGGATCTTGTAAGTTCAAGGCTAACTAGAGTTACAAAGTAAGACCTAGACCAAAAAGATGGAGTCTATCCTCAAGTCCTATAGATAGCTCAAGACACCCCAACCAGGCCAGACTTGCTATCCCTTCACCAGCCCCAAACCAAACCCTCGTTCAACCTGGCCCTCTACCTGTCCTATCCAGTTGCCAAGAATTCTACCCACAACCATTACCACCACTGGAGAATCCTGCAGTCTCCACACTGGTCTCCCTCTCTCCATCTCCATGGCTCAGTAAAACCTTGCTCTTTGTTGCCTCCCCCAACATTCCTTCTCACCTCCTCTGAGATGGGTTCTCCCAAATCTCTGCCTCCAAGCCCACACCCCACACCCGAAGTTCCCACCAGCAGGACCCTTGACAATCACTTGATAGTGATTGCCTCTGTATTGCCTCATCTCCTTGCCCCCTGAACCAGGGCCTTTTCCTACATTCATCACAAATCCCAGATGTTTCTATCCCCGCCTCAGTAGTTGGCACTGGATCCAATGAACCTGACACCCAAGCCCCGTGGCACAGTGGTGTGATCAATATGTACTGAATGGACGCCCCTCATGGTACAGATCTCCACTTTGGGAGGGACCTACAGCCAGGGAGGAAGCCAAAACACGCTACCCAGTAGGCTGATGGAGCTGTGCTCAGAAGCAAGGCCCCACAAGCAAGCCAGAACTGTAGCCCCTCCTCAGCTTTCCTCCCTGCCTTCTCCCTGGAATCTTGGTTTTTGCTTATCCCTGATGGCCAGAGGTACAAATACAGCGAGGGCTCAAGCAGACACCCGTTTCTGTCACTGCTCTCTAAACATCACAGGTGAAGACACTCAGTAGTGAAAACAGCTGAATGAAAAACACCCATTCCCAGGGGAAGAGTACAATCTGGTTTACTTAGCTGCTTGGAACAGCACACAGACAGTGAAGGACTAGGCAGTGTTATCACAGAAAGCTCTGAGAGACAAGAAAACCACTACAACAGGGCAACAGATGTACGTGGTCCCTTCTTTAGTTAAAATTCTCATGGGCTATGCACATCTTTAACCCCAGCATTTGAGAGGCAGAGGCCGGCAGATCTCTTTGAGTTCAGGGTCAGCAGCCTGGTCTACATAGTGAGTTCAGGCCAGCTAGGGTTACAGGGAGACCATCTTAAAAAAAAAGAGAGAGAGAAAGAAATCTCCTTTCTATCATAGAATTCATTCCAGGGCACTTCCACTTCTGCGTTGGGGAGGAGGGGGATTACAGGCTGTGTCAATAAACCAGGTTAGTTTTTAATATTTTATTATTTTTATTTTATGTGTATGAGTGTATTGCTTGCATGTATGTGAGTGCACCATGTTGTGCAATGCCTCAGAGGTCAGAAGAGGGCTTTGGATCCCCCTGGAACTGGAGTTAAGGACAGTTCATAGCTGCCATGTGGGTGCTGGGAATCGAACCCAGGTCCTCCACAAGAGCAGTCAGTGCTCTTAACCGCTGAGCCATCTCTCCAGCCCCCAGGATAGGTTTTTAATTTTTAAAACTGTATCTGTGTGCATGTATGTGCATGTGTGCCCAAAGAGGCCAGAAGGCACGTCAGATTCCTTAGAGCTGGAGTTTTAGAGCTGGAATTTAGAGCGGATTGTGAGCTGACATGGGTGTTGGGATCAGAGTCCTTATAAAAGAGCAGCAAGTCTTTAATCACTGAGTCATCTCTTCAGTCCAATTAATTTACTTTTGAAACAAGGTCTCACTATTTAACCCTGGATAGCCTCAAACTTAAGGCCGGCCTTGAACTTGTGGGCATTCTCCAGTCTGTTTCCCGAATATTGTTTTGTTTTTGAGACAAAGTCTCAACCAAAAAGAGAGAAAGGAAAGCAATGAGAAAGTGGAGTTAGGCAGGGCAAGGAAGAATGGCTAAACTGCAGAGTTGTGTATACAGGAAGCACTCAACAAATGCTTATTGGTTGGAAGCCAAGCCTACAGGGCTTATTTCAAGGACTTACCCAAAGAAATGCCAGAGCAGTCAGTAGAGGCCAAAAACCAGACCTGCATTCCTGGCCTTTGGCTGCAGGATGGTGTCAGCCTCCCCCACAGGAAAGCCTCACCTGCCTCTACGCCTAGCATGTAATGGGAACTCAATTTGAGAATGGAGTGCTTAGGCAAATGTAGAATACCCGCACGGGCCCCAAACTCATGCCTGTAGTAGGCAGAGCCCCCAGCGTCTAGAGGAAGCAAGCCAGCTGACTTAAAAGCCCCCTCCAGCAGCTCACTAGGAAGGACCCCCTGGGCTTCAACATCCATCTCCAACACTCAGGAAATAGAACCACTAGCTGAACGATTAGGGAAAAGTCCAACCATCTCTGGGCCTCAGGCTCTCCATCTATAAAAACGGAAGGCTGACAGGGTTAAGGGAGTTAATTGGGTGAAGTGCTTGGCACAGAGCCTGGCACACAAAACGTCCTCAAAACAATGGTAGTTGCTATTGTTATTATTATTAGCATCTTGGTGATTCCGGAAGGCGGCACTGGGCCAAGGGGGCTGTGGGTCTTCCCAGGATGCCTCAGGGACCAGCTGCCACCCACATCCCCATCAGAAGTTGAACAGCTTCTACCTCCTGGTCCTTGCCCCTCCCACTTGCTCCAAGCCCCCTGCAGAGACCCCCCCATCCTTCCTGCCCCACCCGCATAATAAAGCTAGTTCCCCACACTGTGCTGGTCCAAGTCCCAGGCCTCCACTCTTCCCATTATGATTCAGCTACCTTTTCTAGGCCCCCCACTCCGAAGTGGTTTTGAGTTACTTGCTGCTCAGGGATCAGGGAGGGCTGTATCCAGGGATATCCCTCCCACATTCTCTCTCCAGGCACTTGCGGCCTCCTCGCTAGTTCCCAGGGGCCCAGTCCACCCAGTCCTTCCAAAGGCTCAGGGGTCTGCCTGCCTGTAATAAGGCTCCATGGCAACCAGGGGCTGGAAGGGTGGCAGATGGAAGGACAGGCAGCGGGAGGGAAGCAGCAGCTGGCCCAACACTCCGCCCCTATGGAGAAGGCCTCCCAGCCAGGAGGCCTATCCCCAGAGGCCTAGAAGGCCAGGCCTGCACCTGGCAGTCCAACTTGGAGGCAGGAAGGAGGGTCATCCCAATGAGTCTCCCAACAGTCACCCTTCCTCACCTCCCAAACACCCGTGCCTAGTCACTACCCAGCCGAAAATTCTGCTGCAAGCCAGCAAATATCAGTTGAAATACCAGTCCCACCACCTGCAGCTGTGTGAAGAAACTTCCCTATCTGGGCCTCAGTTCCTCCCTCCAGCAGATGGGCACGTGACAACACTGAGGTCACAGCAGGGTAGTGATTTGGGTCCGGCTTCAAGTGTTCCAAAGACCGGGCGTACACTACACAAGCACCAACTGAATACACGTGAGCCATTGTCATCTAGGAGTCCGAGCAGCTCCTGGAAGGAAGTAGAGGCCCAAAGCACAGCGCAGCAAAACAGGGACCAGCTGTCGGTCACCGTTCGCCCCCGGGCGGAGCCCGGAGGCCCAGCCCACGCTCCGCACCGCCCTGCGCGGGCGCAGCAGTCTGCCCCTCCGCCGCCCCCGCCGCCTCGGGGCCAAACACCGCGCCCACCCGGGTGTGCGCGAGGCCCCGCGTCCCTGGGGTCCGTACCGGCGGGCGGCCGAGAGCGGGGCGCGGCGCGCTGGGTGCGGCCCGGGGCGCCTGAGGCGTGGCGAACAGCAGCACTTCGGGGTCACGGGGGCCGGCGACCGGCGGCGGGGGCCTGCGGGGCGCCGGCG